CTTTCTGTGTGTGTGTGTGCGTGTCCCACACGCACGCAAAAACCTCTCTCTCTCTCTCTCTCTCTCTCTCTCTCTCTCAGTGTGTGTGTGTGTGTGTGTGTGTGTGTGTGTGTGTGTGTGTGTGTCCCACACCCACGCAAAAACAAAGGAATATGCATTTGTCTCTGTGTGAACACGTTTACCAATAATTGAACGACAGAGCAGGAGAGGCAGGTGTTATACTCACATCAACCAACCGTAAGCTGATAAATCTCGCACCGAGGAACGACCGCCTTGCTCTTTTTCTGCGGATCGGCACAAGATACTCGTTTCTCTCCACATGTCTTCACAGGCATCCGACACCCAGCTTGTTTCCTCAACACTCAGTCTCGGTGAAGCTTCTCGCGCAACCGGTCGCTCTCCGCATGCTGCCGCGCATCATCAGCCACAGCTTTGAATATCGCACGAAGGAAATGGACAGAGCGTCCACATCCACATCCTCCTCTGGCGCCCTGCGGATGAGCTTGAATTTGTTGCCAGCTTCCCGCCCGACAAAGCTACGGTCCTAGCTATCCATACTGTAATATCGCTCGCACAGGACTAGCCACCACCGCGCATCAGGGAACGTTGTGGACAGCGAGGGAAGCAATTGAACAAAGACAGAAAGACTCTGGTGCCACGGGAGCGAAGGGAGACCGCCGAGACACAGCCTCACTCAACACCAGAAGCTGGTACTGAATCACTGACTCGTCGACATCAGCTCGACGTGTTACCGACGTATATTCTTTGCCAGCGAGCAAAATCCTCGTCAATAAATCCTACGTTCTCTGATCTAGTAGCGATGAAAGACGGCACCGGAGCAGGCAATGCCATTCAATTCGCATGTCGATTTCTTCCCGCGCTCCTAATTCTCGCCCTCACCACACACACGCGCGCATTTCTCATTAGCAAGAAAGACAGCACGAGCGCCATCACTTCAGGCCAGCCACACGAAGGTAAGAATGTCATCGACCTACCCGTAAGTACATCACAGTATAGCACACCACAAAGTGCCTTACTTACAGCATTATAGTCATATAATCATAGCCATTACCACAGCGCGCGGACACTCCACATTTGCTGGTTTGGTTGGTTTCCGCCACCCAAACACAGAGACATGAGTTCAGACTCAGTGGAAGCAGCAGATGAGTAAAACACTCAATTCTGAATTACCTACGGCCGGTCAGTTCAAGGAACGACCGAAATCTGAAGACCGTCGAGTTGCACTCTGATCACTACACGCTACCGCACAGATGGGACATGGGCTACACCAGCCGAGCAAGTCGAGAAGGAGAACGACAACGGCTCATATCGTCCATAGCTCTACAATAGCGGAGCGAGATAGGAGACAAAGAAGGTGGATGATGGCAACGTGATCCGGAACAGTATCGACACGCAGAACAACTAACGACATCGATGTCGATAAACTGCGTTCTGACTCGTACCCGTAGTACGTCCACCGGAAGTCGAAAAACTGTGTTCTGAGTAACTACATCAACCCCTCGACATCAAATGGAGGCCCGGGGCTAGGTCCCACTTGCACGCATTAAGAGATACTGACCGTAGATAGCAAAGATCAACGGCCGAAATCTCCTAATTTGCGCGAGTGGGACCTCGTCCCCGCTGGTGATCAGGCTATGTCGATGTCGTTGTCGATGGGAAACACCAGCGGGAAGACAACGGCCCTCACTTCACCACTCACCAAATGTGCAGCACACGAGAATGAGAAGAGCTGCAAAAAAAAAAAAAAAAAAAAGAGAAGAGCTGTTGTCCGAGAACAAGGAAATATACACCGCCATAAATTTTGTCGTTTTCGAATGTGGTGAGTGGTGGAGCGAGGCCCAATGTGCGACGAAGGGGCGACGAAAGACGGCGGAGCGGTCGTGCGACAAGCGCATGCGAGTTGCGTCAGAAAGGACAGACAACGCCCCCCATCTTGGACAACCAACTACCAACCACTCCCTGATCCTCTCGCCTGCTATAGCGCCCCCTCTCTTCCCCTCATCGACTACTCTGCATTTTTTTTTATTTTTTTTTTACAATGACTCCTCTGCTTTCCGACACCCTGAACGAGTCCTGTTCGGCATCTGCTCCGCCGTGCCCCGCGGGCCGATAAAAAAAAGAAAAACGAAAAAAATAGAATTCGATTCGATTTGTTGTTTTCTTCGCGAAATCGTATCCGATTCGGCGCTCTGACTCCGCCCTTCTCTCCGAACCACGCGGAGGCGGCACCGACTTTTTCAAATTGAAAAAGACAAAAAGACGGATCTCCAGCAACCTTGCGGGGAAAAAACAGAAAAAAGAAAAAAGAAAAAAGAAAAAAGAAAAAAGAAAAAAGAAAAAAGAAAAAAGAAAAAAAGAACTTTTGCGCGCGCTCTTGCTATCCCGCCCAAAGTTACACCCAATGTACAACCCTCTCTCTCTCTCTCTCTCTCTCTCTCTCTCTCTCTCTCACACACACACACACACACACACACACACACACACACGCACTGCTCTTCAGCCTATATATCCGGTCGGACAAAAGAACCCTATAAACACGCACCGAGCTGGAAGTACACGACAGTGGAGGCAGAGGTCATCTGTACAGGCGATGGAGCCTTTCAGGGGCTGCTTCGCGTAACAAAACACTGGAAATGGAAACACAATGAGGGCATACTCACATTCCGACCCCAATTTGGGAAGGGCCAATTTGAGGTTTTGGGCATGGTTCAGGTCGCACTGCTGCACCTTTTCGGAGGGGACAAGGGGCTGGCGCAATGGCGATTTGGTACTTTGCTGGTCACACGGGGCCATCCACAAATTGTGCAAGAACTTTCGTGAACAAATTTTCACCAATTCTCGAAGACAATGCTAAAAAACAAATAGGGCCCGCGGCCACACTGGGCGCTGACAAATGGGCACACACACTAATGGTACATTTAGGACTTTGGCAAATCTATGCGCCTCGCCGCACCACTGTCGAAAATGCGATTTTTGACAGTTCCTCTTCGCCACAGGCTGTAGAAGTCGGAGACGGGAAAAAAATTTGCGAGTTGTCAGAGAATGCTTCTCAACACCTCCTGTCGAAAGTTGTTCAATCCCCAGCCTGCTACTCCGATGCTTTCGACACTCCTCGGCTGCGCCGTCGACTTCGCTTCGAAATTTGGTGAGTGGGGTAAGGTCGGGATGGACTGATGCTTGTCGTACCCTCAGGCGCATTCGTCTTTTTCCATCTTGCTTTCACAAGTGCGTGCACTCTACAGTGTTGTGTGGCGAAGGGGGGGGCAAACTGTTGAATGGAGGCTGTCAAATTTGTTCTGACAGCCGTCGAATTTTTTGGCCTTTCGACTGTGGTGTGGCGAGGCCCTATGTGACCAGTCTACCTTTTGGGGGGGGAATTTGGGATCATAGGTCCCAGTGTGAGTATGCCCTGACAGCATACTCACACTAGGCCCTTAAATCACGAAATGAGCGGCCAGATCGAGTCCTTTTACAAGGACTCAAATCTGGCCGCTTATTTTGCAATTTTGCCATTTCAAGGGCCTAGTGTGAGTATGCCCTCAGGCTGGCGAACAGGGGGATCAACACGGCATCGTCGCCGACAAAAACTGTGTACCCCGCATGGCGCTGTGACGAACTATTTTCTGTAACCGCTCGACTTTCTGCGTGAGGCTGCTTGGGGAAATACGACGGGTGAACTATGGGAAGATGGGTCGGACAGGCAAGTTGCATGGATGTCCTCGTTTCTTTTCGTTTTTCTGCTGGAAGTTGCCGGGTCAGTGTCGGGAAAATCCCGTGCCAACGGTTGAGTAGCGCGCCTTAGCGAGCGCGAACAATAATTGTACCATAGCTTCTTTCTTGTTCTGCTATGAGCACTGGGAATTTTGGCGCGATCATCGCGCAGAAATATCGTTTTTGAATTTTTAACTAATGTCGAGCCCCCATGGGCCGTCGGAATTGTTCTTCTATTCAGAATTTTCCTTTGCAATTAGGACTTAAGCTAAGAATTTAGGCATCTTTTAAATTTTGTTGTGCTGCGCTTCCTGCTTATGCATGCCTTGTCGCGACAAGATCCGGGCTCTGACTTCTTTTTACAAGTAACTGCCGTTTTTGGCGGGCGCGATTGTAACTGCATTTTTCTTCCTTCCTGGTTTTCTCGCATTTGCCCGCCTTCTCCTTCTTCCCCGCCTTATGTACTCTTTTCTAATTGGTCGGAGCACCTGCATGACCGGATCGATGCATGGAGTGTGGCTACGACCCCCACGTCGCGGCTTGCCCATTCAGACGTAGGCACTTCCTCTCTCCTCCTCTTGTCCACTTGGGCTTAATCCTGTACCTTTCGCGCAGGCATGCATGTTATAAATTTTGCAAGCGCGATTTGTTGGCTCTCTAAGAATTTCGAGGTTAGCGCGATCAGTGAGGGTCGGCTAACAAGCAAGTTTTGAAAGGTGAGTGAGTGCGAGAGTTGGGCGATCCGACGAGTTGGTGTCGGGTGTGCGAGGTTGACGTGCGGGGCCGCGACGGACTGTGGCGCGTGGGCGAACCTGGCTTGCATGCTCGAACCAAGCGAGGTGACAACTCTGTGTTGATGCGAGGCGACAGACTGCCCGCATTAGGAGTCACGGTGTGGAGCAGAGAGAGAGAGAGACAGTAGTTGTGAGTGCGGGATGAGATTCTTTCTTTTGCTCGTCTGTATAATTTTGGTTTCTGCTATGGCCAATTTTGGTCGCGGCCTTTTCGACCTTTCCTTGTAAATCGTCCCGAATTTTCGTTGTTGCTTTTGCCTCGTATGAATGCATGAATGGGTCTGAAATTTTCTTCATGAATGACCTTTTCGGATTCTCGATCTTGTTTTGCGATGCTTGTCTAATTCTCTCCTCCATCTGCATCTGATTGAAAGCTTCCGCTATGGATGTCTGAGTTCTTTTTTTTAGTCCTTGATCGTCATAAAGCCGCCAAGAACGCTGTGAGATATTAATTGTCATTCCCCCCCCCCCTTTTTCTTTTCTTTCCTTTTCGTCACATGAATGATATGGATGTAAATGAAACATTTGAATCTCACCCTACCTAGCATGAGCAGGATAGCTGCATGTAGGATACGATCGTTATCACGACACATGAAACCCGCTCAGGCGCACGCTCACGTACGACCGCGATCTCGGAGATCCAAGTCGCGGCGTACGAGCGCGCCTCCATGATTCGACCTCGAATTTATCGAAAGGATGTGGGAAATCGAACTCATTAACCAGATATGGCCGAGGAAAGTCCCCTTTGGATCACCGATCGTGAAAGACTGAGGGATCCAGAGTACCGCGAGTACTGGAAAGGCGAGCAACTCAGACGACGGGGAAACTTGAGAAACTTGGAATTCCCCTGTCTAGCGGAGAACGACTGACTGTGCGCGGGGGATTTCCACTGGGCTATAACCCGTGACCCGAGGGGCCCAAACTACCCAGATACGGACAACACTCAATACTACATATCCCGGGCTTCGTCGTAATCCTCCCATATCACCAGCTCACGGTGGTACCGTGAAATTCCATAGCTCGCTACTGGCCCAGCCCACCGT